GCGTGGACAAAGCTGACTTATTGCAGTACTCTTTATTGTATTGTTGGAAACAACCTAAACGTCCATGGGCAAAGGACCTCTAAAATAAGTTACAGCACACAATGGAATACTGTCCAGCAGGAAAAAAGTAATCTTAGACTGTTATGAAACAGTATGTAGGTATATCATTAATGTGAAACGCAAAGCAGAAAATGTTGTGTGAAGAAGGCTACCGTGGTCATCTACATCTCCAGCTTACCCTGGCTTCCAGACACCGTTCGTCTAATAGCAAACTTCCTGGTTAATTTTATGGGAGCATTCCTCTTCTTGTGTCCATTATTTGCTTTTCAATGACTTCTAATTGCTTCAAACGTATAGTACACTACAAATTTTGTAGCCTGACATTCAGGGCCCTTTGCTTTGAAGACAAAACTTATTTTTCCCTCATTATTCAAATGGGAGCTAATGTGGGAAAGATATTGCCAAAAATGGTTGCCCACTGACCTCAGATACACCAAACATTCCTATTTCACTACGGAGTTTTGACATAAATTGAGTGCTAAAATTTGCCAAATGACTTTTACATCTCTCGAAAACATCACGTATTTGTTTCCTAAGACTGTTGTAAGGAAACCATGAATTGGATGACTTAAAGCAAAAAATAAATAAATAAATTATTGTCTCACGGTTCTGGAACCTAGAAGGAGGCTGGGTATGATTCCTCTGCCCCGCTCAGAAGAAGCATGGCACTGGCTTCCGAGGTTTGCTGGCAATTCTTGGCACTGTCTCCCTGAAATCTTTGCCTCCGTCTCACAGCACTTCCCTATGCATCTGTCTTCATCTGGCCACATAAGATACGAGTCATAATAGATTAGGAGGTTCGCCCTAATCCCTGTGACCTCATCTTAACTAATCACATCCGCAACAGATTTCCAAACAAGGCATCATTCCAAGATACTGGTTTTAGGATTTCAACATATCTTTCTTGGGGAACACAATTAAATCCATAACACAGCATATGATGGTCTCCTTAGCTCGGCTAGTCTGATTGACAATGTTGGTGGATTTTATAATAGGTAACCCTCTTGTATTACTAGAATGAATCTCACTTAGTCATGAAGTATTGTTTGGTAAAGGAGCTGCTGGGTTCTGACTGCTGATGTTTTAAGATTTTTGAACCATATTCACACGCAGGAATATTCTGTTTTCCTTTTGGAATTATTTCAAGTTTTGACATCAATGGCTTCATAAGTGAAAATTTGATTTTTTTTTTATAATCTAGAATAGGTTAAGTAGCATTGAGATCATCCATACTTTATGGGTTAGGTAGAATGTTCCTGAGAAACCATTTAAGCCAGGTGCTTTTTAGAGAGGAGTGTTTTAACCCACTTTCTAGCTCTTCTATGATAATTATTCTGGTTAGACTTTCTTCACTGAGGTTCATTTTAGTAAATGAACCTCCTTTTTACAAAAGGTTATGTCAAGTAACTCCATGGTTAAAAAATTTCCTCTGGGCTGGGGATGTGGCTCAAGTGGTAGCACGCTCGCCTGGCATGCGTGCGGCCCAGGTTCGATCCCCAGCACCACATACAAACAAAAATGTTGTGTCCGCCAAAAACTAAAAAATAAATATTAAAATTCTCTCTCTCTCTCTAAAAAAAATTCCTCTGCTTTTAATGATTATTTTCCCCATAGTATTTTTGGTTTGGGGCAATTGAGTTTTTTCCTTTTATTCTTCCTTCTCTTGGTTAACTAAGATTTGTCTATTTTTTTGATTTTTTGTTCAAAGAACCATTTTTTGATTTATTGTTTTTCTTTATAATTCAATAGCTTATGCTTTTATTTATTTTAAAGTATCTGTAATTTAGGCAGATTTGTAAGGTGATTTTGATCCCAGATTTCTGAATTACAACTGTGGAATGTGTGGATTTTTATGGAAAATTTGTCATGTGGTGCACTATATTTTCCATTACACCATTGTATTTATATTATTATTATATTATGCCTATTTTTTTGGTATGTGAACATCTTATTTCTGCAACAGATGGTAGCTCTCTGAGGGCAAGTTCATGTATCATATTTCTTTGGGACAATAACTACTGATATTGTGGCTAAGTCAGAGAACTGATGTAAATGTATAATAGGTAGTTTCTGAAATGGCTCCCAATAGTCCCTCCCACCTAAAATTTATGTTCTTGTCTCATCCCCTTTGCCTTTGATTGTGGGCTGGACCTGGAGATTTGCATCTAAGAAGTAGAAAATGACAAAAGTATTAGGATATTGCCTCCAAGGGTTTGTTATAAAAATCTGCTACTCTGTCTTGTTTAGATTCCTTCTGTATCTCCAGATTTTCTTGTTTGCTTGCTTCAATAGAAGAAAGGGTCATTTAATGAGCTGTTCTATGGTGGCACCCTCATAGCAAAGCAGGGAGGGCAACTTCTGACCAATAACCCATAAGGAACTGAAATATAACAATACACATGAGTGATCATCATGGCTAATCCATCTCCAGTTGAGCCTTGAGGTGACTGCAGCTTCAGACAACACCTTGATTAATATCTTGTGAGAAACCCAGAGTCATAGGACCCAGCTAAAATGCACCTGGATTCCTGACCTACAGAAACTGCAAGATAATATTTCTACTTTAAGCCACTATTTGTGTAGTTCTTTGTTATGCAACAGTAGATAACTATTACAGAGCCCAGATCCTGTGTATCTGCCTCACTAATGGTAATTTGGGAGGAACCTGTCTTGTTGAAAGGCAACTCTAACTCAGAATTTATAATGCAATAATTAATTAATTCCAAAAATGTTCACTTTGAGTGAATGCATTTTAACATCATTGTCTGTCAGCTCTCTCATTTTAGTATCTTAATGGTGGGGCTGGGGCTGTAGCCCAGTGATAGAGCGCTTGTCTAGCACATACATGTGAGGCACTTGGTTTGATCCTTAGCACCACATAAAAATAAATAAATAAAGGTATTATGCCTATCTACAATGAAAAAATTTTTTTAAATATATTAAAGGTATGCCTATTGTTCCTTGAAATAGGTTATTTTTAGTGCTTCCTTTACTGCACATGAGTAGAATGTGCCACATTAGAGACAGACTGCATAGATAAAATCAGGCAGATTAAAAGTGAATTTATAATTTGGACTTATATTTTTACAACATTTAACCAACAATGATTTATTTTCATACCATGATGAAGACTGTTGGTAACAAAATGGAACAGTTCTTCCCTTCTTCCACAGTTATATAAATTAAGCTGAAAAGGGGCTGCCTTGCTAGAGGTGACATTTCTAAGCCTTTTTGAGACGAGGAGACTACCTTCTCACTGATAGGCTGTCCATAGAAGTGATATGTAAACTTCTGCTTCATGCTTAATATAAAATTGCTGTTCAGTACATTCACCTCTTTTCTCCTTTTCAAACGATACTTCATGGGTCACTGGAAGCTGAAGTCAGAGATAAAATGCTCTGTCTGAAAATACAATTTGTTGGTATACTTATGCTGAATTTGCCATGTTTTACTTTTTTTTTTAATGAAACACTGAAGCACTAAATTTGGGAGATACATGATGCAGGAATCTTCATGGGAGAACAAATTTCTTTAACACATGAACAAAACAGGTTCTGAACAACTACAACTCCAGCTTTTAAAACTAAACTAAGGGTTTTGGTCCTAGTGCCTATAAATGATAGCAAACAGCACAGGGGAGAGAGGCCACTGCGGCCTGAGTCAGACATGTCTAGGTGTGACACAGCTGGGTGTAACAGTAGCCTGGTGCTTTTGTAAGAGGAAAATGGTATCTCCCCAGAGTTCCATTGTCCTCTTAGCCACCTTGACTTTGCTTTCCAGATAAGACTGGGAAGCAAGGAAAGCCGAAACTAGGACATGAGGAAGACTAAATTATCTTTGGAAGTTACAACCCAGAGGTTTCCAGGCCTAAAAGGACAAGTGGTTAAGCAAGATGGCTCAGGTGTCCATTTCTGATCATTTGTGCTACCAAATACTTAGTAGGCTTTACATGGGCAGTCAGCAAATAGGTAGCCTTCTGTTGTAACCTGAAGACAAGTAAATTGTGCTTTTGTTGCAGGATGATCACCTGGACCCTCATCTCCATGTGAGGAGGTGCAGCGGCTGAAATCTCCGACCCTAGAGGGAGATTTAGGAGGGGTGAGGGAAAACCACTCCAAACTGCAGAACGGTTCCTCTTCCACTCTCCAGCTGAGAGCCCTAACGCAGGCGCGGGTACAGTGAGATGCCCAACTATCCTCGCAGCCCTCAGCAACTGATTCTATGGGTCTGAAGTCCCTCAACGGTCTGGTTGCATCTTCCCAGCGTCGTTTCTTAAGCAGAGGCATAGCAGAAGGGGTAAGGGAGCTAGTAGGACTCTATGCTCAAGGCAGAAAATCAAGAGGGAAGCAGGTTTCCTCCCCACCCACCTTAAAGTGTTCCCCGGTTGCCACATCACATCTTCACGCTGTGGATGACTCAGGGCCCACTTTGTGTTCCCTCGATTCTTGAGCAAGGTCGAGGGTGTCCGGGCTTCGGAGGAAACGTTGCGTGAAGCAGAGTTTGGAAAGAACTTGGGAATTTCCCCCGGGGCCCTCGCTGTACTTGCTGAGTCTTGCAGGGTGCGGACAAAGGTCCGGAGTGGGGAGCGGGCGCACCGGGAAACTGAATTTACCTTGAGCTTGGGAGTGAAAAGGAAGGTCACTACGGGATCAGCTGTCTTTTCATGTCAGATCTGGGCTAGCCAGGAGGGAGTGGATACAAGTCGCCCCCAAATAAAAGCGAGAGTTCAGGCACCTGTGCTTCTCCGGCCAGTCGCTAGCTAGCCCTGGAGAAGGAAAGCTAGACTCTGCTGTCGCCCTAACAGCAGGGACTGTAAGGAGAAGAAGGGCGTGTCTTGCTCAAGGTGAAGGCGGACACCTGGGCTCAGGCGCGCCCAGGGCGGGCGCTAGGACCCGGGCGGCGCACCTGTTGGGTGGCGGGGGCCCCTCCCGCCCTGCGCCGGTGTCGGGGTGTGAGCGACCGGAGCGCGGAAGGAGGTGACGGCCCGGCGAGGCTGCGGCGGCTGCCGGGCGACGAGGGCGGCCCGCTGCACGATGGCAGAGCTGCTGTGGAGCCTGCAGGATTCCCAGATAGTCGCCCGCTTCCAGCGTCGCTGCGGGCTCTTTCCGGCGCTGGATGAGGGCCCCCAGGAGAACGGCGCGGGTCCCCCGGAGGATGCGACGCGCTGCTCCGAGGTCGGGCACCGCCGGGCGGCCAGCGTCAAGGGCGGCGCGGAGCCGCCCAATGGGCTGCGGAGAGCGGCGCCGCCGCAGGTAACCGCGGGCAGGTGCTCGCCCGGGAGGGAGGAGGGGGCAGCCGCTCCGCAGCCTGCGGACGTGCAGGTCCAGGCGACTCGGCGACGTGGGGACAGGCGTGCCCCAAACCAGCCCGGTGGAGAGAGCGCCGTCCCCGGAGGCTCCTGGGGTCGGGCGGTCGTGTGTGGAGGGGGTGGCCTTGGGGGTCCAGCCACCGGGATACCATCCTCTAACCCTGCCAGGTGGCCACCAAGTCTTTTCAGACTTAAATCGCTCAGAGCCTTTAAAGGCGGTCTACTTAGAGGCTTTCCATGTTAATGAATACATTCACGCTCATGTACGTTCTACCGAATCTGTCGGAGTCACGTAATTGAAGGAGTGGGGGTGTCCTTGGCACTTCCCGGGGACAATTCCCGGGAACTCTGAGTTGCCGCCCATCCCCCTCCCCTGTCCGCGCAAATGCTGGTGTTGTGGGGCTCAGTTGTCTTATGGTGCGCTCTGCCGACTCTCGGAACGGAGCTCGGGTTTCCATACTGCTCCTAAAGAGATTTACGACCTCTGACATCACCTCCCTCTCGCCCCCTTCTGCCTGGTGGGTCTTTTATTAACCGGCACCGATGGCTTTTCACAGATGCTTTGGGGAGAGACGCTCACCGCGCTCTCCTCTAGGCGTCCTGAGTGTGGTTATACAACCACTGCAGCTTTGGGGAAACCAGCCTGTGTCGTCGTCGCAGTGCATAGAGACTCCAGGCAGAGGGACAGACAGGCTGCAGACAGCTGCAGGGGGTGGGTGCCTGTCTACCCTGGCACCTGCAGAAGGCTGGCGGGGGGTGGGGGTGGGTGCTGTCTACCCTGGTACCTGCAGACACTGACCTTTTGCCAGGCAAAATAACAAGTGTGGCAAGTGAGAACAGTAATTCCTTTTTCTTTTTAAAAAGCCACATTTTCTTTTCTTCCTAGAAGTTTCTGGTGACAAGAAAGCAGCTGCGTCTTCATGTATAGATGTCTAGATTTAGTAACTGAGGAATTATGAAGAACCTTGATATGAACCTGAATATGAATAGGCTTTGAATTATAGAATTCATTTGGAAGGGCGGAGGTGGATTGTGTGTTGCATTACAGAAAAATCCACCTCTATAATATTTTATCTCCTTTTATAGCCCTTTCTTTGTCCTATGTGAAGTTCCAGGAACTTTTAGTTGAGTTTGCTGACCCCTCCCTTTCCTCTTGTGGTGTGTTAAAGGGGGAAGAGCCAGAAGAAGTGTTTTTCATTGACATTTTCTGTGCACACACAACATTCACACTCACACCCACAGGTGGATGCTTTCTATTGCTCTCTTCTCACACTTCTACCCTCTTTCTTGAATTCAGGAAGCTGAAAAGAGTGCATTTTTTCACTAGTGTTTTTCAAACTGTTTTCCACATTACCCTTGGTAAGGTTACCTGAAATTCTGGAGATGCGCTGTCTTCTCCTTTAAAAGCAAGCCAAGTGGACTTCTTGCCTCTTTGCTGCTAGTGCCTTAGGTGGCTGGTAAGCCCAGGAGTAGGCTTGCCCTTCCCGACCAACACAGCACCTCACTCACACAGCAGATTGTGAAGAAACAAGACAGAACCCAAAATCAAGATAAGAAATCCCTGTACTTGGTGATAGTGGTGATGGTGGGGGAATTAACTCAAAAGCACTTGATAAGGGAGAGGTTAATAAATGTTCTTAAAGGTGGATCAGTTTCAAGTGACTTGAGAAGATTAATAGTTTACTAGGGACACACAGGAAGTTCCCAAAAGGAAATGATTACGTGACTGTCCCTGGATATATAATAGGATTTTTAAAACGGCAGTTGAGAAGACTCTTTCCTATCAACCATGACTCCCCCTCTGCCTTGGGCCTTTGCCCACTTGCCTCAGTTGCAGGTGCCTTCTCCAGATACCCTCCACCCACCCTTGAGCATCAAGGTCAGTTCCTCTGGAGGTACCTTCACTGACCTTGCAGGCTAGCTCTCCCTTTATGGACTCTCTTTGCCTCTTGTATATTTTTTCCCTGCAGCATAATCACATTGTGTAAATGTGCCTTTGTGTGGATATCTGATTATTCCAGTCTCCTCCTGTAGAGGATAAGCTCTAAGAATGCAGGAAATTTTTCTGTTCTCATTGTTTTCCTCCCCTGGTTATGCACAGTGAATTTTATGAATATTTGAATACAGATTACAATAAGAAATCAATAGATTTTTAAGAATTAAATAATGATTACTGAAAAATCAAATGAAAAAAAAAAAAAAACAACGAATGGTTATCCCAGAATCTAGAAGGCAACCCAAAGACATCCATTTTATACCCTGCAAACAAAAGTAAACTTTCCTTCACTTCAATAATTTTAGACCTCCATCAATCTAATTTACCTTCCATATTTTCTGTTTTTATTTAAGTCCTTAACACTGCACAAATATGGAGTGATTAAAGACTTCCTCTATAAATTCTTGTAACACCACACACTGCTAGTTTAAAAATTAACTATGTCTCTTACAAACTAGGGCTGGGCTGGGCTCGAACAGACCTGTTGTTGTATATTGAACTGAGATTCAGGGATTGCCCCAGTAAATATGAGTTCTGAAAGATTAGGTGACTTGGGACTTCCCAGTGTTCTGCACAGTCAGGGAAAGCCAGATCTTTTGACTTCCAAGTCTGAGCTTCTTTCTACTGTGCAGCTTCTAACAGCACAGTCACAGCACCTCACTGTGACTGATGTACTGTGGAGGTATGAGCTGTGAGTCCTGGCTGGGGCAGGGTAGAGATCAGGTAGAATGAGAAGGTATTGTTTGCAGTTTGCAAAGGTAGCCAATTTTCGCAAGATTAACCATCTGAGGGCATTCTTGGTAGTCACCTTGAGAAGCAGGGTCCTGAGTAAGAGGCACAGAACCTAGAACCTGCTGGGGAGGGCAAAGACCCTTAAGAGATTGTGTTGATTTGTTCTGGGGTCACGTCAACCTTGAATGCAATGTCATTTTGATTTCTAATGTCTTTGCTTACCCAAAGCAGTTGTATTTAGTGAGACTCTCCTGTGTTTCCCCCCATCATTATATTAGATGAAATATGATCTCACTCTACTCAATAAATACTTGTTTGCTAACTGCTCAGACATAGTTCTAAAATTGGGTTGGGGAGGGAATCAAGGGTGGGTTGCCTTTTCAAAGTCTTTGCATTCTCATTTCTCTCCTGAAATATTTGGGCCCCTCCAAGTCTGTTGGTCTACAAAAATCCCTCCCTTGAATTTACTGACTTGCTAAAGAGCAAAGAATACATTCTGCAAAGGAAGAGACTGTGATCTGCCTCTGCTTCTGCCTCTGTATCATTTGTATTTCTCTGGGCCTCAGTTTTAGCATCTGCAAAATGAACAGTGAAAGAGGACCATAGTAATATGGCTATATTGTCACGTAGAGGAGCTTTAAAAGCGAAACAAACAAGCACTGTGGAGTATCCAGGTTAGAAGTGGTACCCAGAAAAGCTGGCAAACAGTAAGAAGCTCTGAATTCTCTTATCCTGGGACCCACCCACTTCAGTGTGAGGGGGAAGTGGCTGGAGGCAATTGTCACAGCAGCTGTGATGTTTTGGCTTCACTGTAACTAAACTTGCCAAAAGATCAAATTACAAATTTTGATTGCCTATGATCTGATGTTTGAAATGGTAAATGAGCCACTCTGAAAATGTGCATTTGATCTTTTTTTCTCTAGTCACAGATACCATCATTATTTAGAGGAGAAAACTTGGGGAAACACAAATAAAAAGCTTAATTTATGCCCATGTGCCACTGCCCAGAGACAGTCACCTGGGAAACATTCAACCTGATTTGTGATGGCTTAGTATTACTCCATTACCTGGACAGCCTATATAATTTAATTGGCCTATTGCTGGGACTTTAGATTGTTTCCAATCTAAATAAATTGTTTCCAATTTTTGCACTAAAAATAATAACATCTTTATAAAAGATGTTATTTTATAACATGTCTTTCCACCTGTCTTGCTTATTTCCCAATTTAAATTTCCAGACAGAGAATTGCTGAATGAAGAATATGCATATGTTATGTCTTCTTTTTTTTTAGAATTTTTTAATGTTTATTTTTTATTTTTCAGCAGACACAACATTATTGTTTTGTATGTGGTGCTGAGGATGGAACCTGGGCCTCACGCATGCCAAGCGAGCGAGCTAACGCTTGAGCCACATCCCCAGCCCCATATGTTATGTCATCTAATAAACATTGCCACATTTTCCCAAAGGGAGAGTGTACCAGAATAAAAATCTATAAGCATATTGTTACAGGTTTTCCACAGTCTTCCCAGTCTTTAGTTATTAGTATGCTCTCTAATCTTTGGAGAAATAGGCCACTTTTACTTGTATCTCCTTTTTGCTTCCTTCATTTGCAACCAACATTTATTGTTCAACTCTTATGTTTCTGGCATAGTTGTTAGTCTCAGAGATACAAAGATAAAGAAAATGTAGTTCCTGCCTTAGAAAGCCCAAATAAAATGGTGCAACACACAAAATACTAGAAGCTGAGTGTGGTGGTGCGGGCCTGTAATCACATCTACTGGGAAGGCTAAGGCAGGAAGATCATAAGTTCAAAGTTAACCTCGGCCATTTAGTGAGACTCTATCTCAAAATCCATACTGGGGTTGTAACTCAGTAGTAAAGTACCCCCTGGGTTCAATCCCCAGTTCCAAAATAAATAAATAAGTAAATAAAATATTAAAAATTTAAAAAAGAAACATACGTTGTATTATACCTATGGGGAGGCCACACATGGCTCCCTATTTCTTAAATGTGGACTGAACATAGTGCCTTCCAAAGAATACAATATGAAAAGGGGAGGGGCAAATAATTTCATGATGTATACACTTGATAGACGTCACCCTGGTGATCAAGGTTGACATCAATAGTGAAAGTCATGTTGATAGTATGCTCTCTTGATACAAATTGAAATGGTATGCTCCTGATTCATACTGAGAGGCATTCTATAGAATACTGC